GCCCCAGATCTGGCCCAAGCCCCCGCCGCCCCTCCTCCCCCAGCTGATCGGACAGCAACGCGGAGACCCAGAGAGATTTTGGAGAGACGCGCCTGGAAGATTTTAACCAGAATGAGCGTTCCTCGGGAATCTCCAGAAACGCCTCATGTTCTGTTTTCTTCCGCCCATTACTGCGCCTCGTCCAAGGGCCACCAACAGCCCGCCTTCTGCGTCTCGTCCTTTTCTCCGATCAACCAGAGGAGAAGGCGTCCCAAGACGCGCGAGAAAAGCTGGCTCCGAGGGAGCAAAATTGCTCGGCGTAGCCGTACCTTCAGAGCGAGAAAGCTGTTGTGGGTCTCGAAGGTCTCCCGAGACGACCGCTCGCTTGGGCCCCCGAAGGACCCTTTGGGAAAGGTGGCCATCTGGGGCCTCGCTAAGGTCCCGTCTTCATCCGCGCGCCGGCCTCCTCGCGTGCGCTGGCTTGGCTCGGCTGCTCAGGAAGTGGCTCGGCGGAGCTCGCTCGCTCCCTCGAAGTGCTCTGCGGGAGGCCGCTTGCCTCCTGCCCGAGGGCGCGCTCAGCCGGAGCCTACAGAAGGTCCTCGCGTCCTGCGAGAGGACAGACGCACTTCCTTTCTCGCCCGAAGGTTGCTTCGCTCGGCCCTGGCCTTGCCAGTCCGCCCGCCTGTCTGTCTGTTTCTCGGCGCCGAGGAATCGTTGAGCTCAGCTGGGTGGTTGCGGGAGTAGATTGAAGCCCGACGCCTCCGGGCAGCAGGAGGCAAGCGGGAGTTACCGGAGAAGCCTCAGGAAGGCGAAGACGGTGCCTCCCTCGCTCGCTCCCCGAGAGGTGTTTTCGCTCACGAACACAGCTCGGCTCGCGGGAGTCTGCAAGAGGACAGGCAGGTGCTTGTCCTTCTGCTCCGTTGGTGCCCGGCGGCATCTGCCAGCCTCTCCGTCGCTTCTCTTTCCACCAGCAAAAAGCCTCTCGGCACAGCTTGCCTCACCCCTCCCTCGCCTCTCCCAGTTCATTCTTTGCCTGTTTTTGGACGGCAGAACATTCCCCTTCAAATGCATGCACATTGCCCGATGTTAAGCAGGGAAAGTCCTTGCCCTGGCCTGTTCATTCCCAAGGTCCATCAGTTAATTGGCTGGGAATGATGGGAGTTGAAGTCCAACACATCCACGGGCATCAGGTTGGGAAGGCTGTCTCATAGCATGTATAATATGACTACACAAGGAATATAGTGCAGTGTTTCTTCCACTGAATGCACTCCAGAGCCGTGGGGCTTTATTTAATCAATTCATATAGCCACCCATCTCCCAACTGCAACTCTGGGTGGCTATCATAGGATTAAAACCAATCAACAAAGCAAAAGCAATAAATAATAGCAAAGCAATAATGACACAATCATAGCATAATGGCACCTGAGCACATTCTAACTCAATTCACAGGACTGCAGTCATATTAAGGAAAATCACATTGACGTGAGCCCATCAGTGGTGAGCCTCCGAACCAAAAAGTCTTCAGGGATTTACAAAATGCCAGCAGGGTCGAGGCCAGACAAATCTCAGGGGGCATGATGTTCCAAAGGACAAGCACTTCCTGGGTCCCTCCAGATGGCGCTGCTTAACAGACTGGATCTGGACATGCCCACCCTTCTGGATCTAATGGGTGGGACTTCCAACTCCAATCATCCCCTTCCAGTATTACAGGGTGGGGAAGATTGATAGAGTGACAAAGCTGAGACATAGCTCAACTCTGCTATGGAGTAAATCAGGTCACTCTGGTGAAAAAGTCTGAGCCCACATAGTGTTATTATGAGGATAAATGAGAGGAATTACATAACCTGAGCTTCTCTAAGGAAGAATGGGGGCATTTTTTTAAAGACCAAACAAGAATTCATTGAATAGGCCTTCTGTAAGCCTCTACACTAACCTCTGGTGCACTCGGTGAAGCTGTTCCAGCTGCCAAACTCCAGCTGCCGCAGCAGAAAGCTAGTTGCATGCTCCAGGATTTTTGGCCACAACTGCTGTTTTGCTCCTTGAAGGCTCGCTCCACTTCAGGCTTTGGTCCAAGTGAGGCTCTGTGTCAGTTCTTTCAGATGTCCAGCCTCATTCCAGATCAGATGCTTGCTCAGAAATCTAACCCAGCATTATCCTGATTCAGCAGTGTTTCAGGTACAGCACCCTTCTGCGGAAGGATGATCTTAGGCATTTTAATAAAGTGAGTTAGTCAGAAAAGAGGCTACCAGAGCTCTTCCTGATTTTTTGCCACCATAGGCTAACCTGGCTCTCCTCCTACAATGTCGAAACTGCAGAAGATTCAGATGTTTACAAGAGGCACTTTCCTGCAGGCTCAGAGCAGGAAGCCTTTCAAGAGGATGCTTTCAGTGGCATGAGGCTGGATCGCCTTATCTGATTAGAACTGCTAAACAAATATCATGGAGATAATTTGGTTAGATTTTAAAATCAAAGGCTAGAGGGTTTCTGCATTCGCAAAAAAGAGGACTCTATGTGAAAGGGCATCTTGGGATTTTTGCAATCAGGGACACACATTTTCGTTAATGGCACACTCCAATTAAAGACCTTTCTGTGTCTTCCAAAAGTTACTGACCCTAGGCTGTTTCTACTAGGTCCATCTTGTCCAACCTGGACAACTTCCAGATGTGTGGACCTCAGATGCTGAGAACCATAGTACAGCAACATCTGTGGAACCATAGCATTATTGTGTCTAGTCTAATGTTCACTAGCATGCCTTCTATACAAAATTACTATCAATGGAAAAAACTAATCTGTCTCCAAACCTTGTATCATGCAAGCCTGGAACACACTGTCCTAACAGCTTAGATTAGAATTATTTTCTTAGATCTGCATTTTT